TCTATAAATACCCACAGAAGGGTCACTTCACCCTGGGCACAGAGAGAACTGCTCCTGTACTCTGAAGATGTCGGTCACAGGTGCTGGCGGAACGTTAGGAAACAAGACTTCAAGACCATGGCCACACAGCCCGGAAGACCCACACCAGCCATCTGAAAATCCTCTTCATCTGCTTACAGATCTTATGAATCTCAAACTAGACACCCTATAGTTTAGGTCTTGAATTAGAATTCCTGATCTGAAAAAGATAGCTCAAATAGTTTCAGCTAAGAACTAACATCGCAGTCTAGAACACACACAATCCAGGAATCAGAAAATTTCAAAGACAATCTTATATTGCTGTTCCAGTTCTGTTATGCTCTCTTACTTAGGAGACCACCAAGAATATTCTCTGATAATTTCAAATTGCCCAAGCATCTGTTCCAGTAATTTGTTGGCATTTAGATTCAAATAGTCCTCCAAAAAAGCAAGCATTCTATCAAAAAACCCATCATCTCTTCTCTTGTACATCCCTGCATTTTCGTGGGAGATGCAAACATGATTCACATTACATTTCAATAAGGTTAGGAAAAAATCAGTAGAAAACTAATTTAAAAATAATTCACATGAAAAAAATGTAACCACTGATTAGAAATTGCACCTAGAGGTCTCAGGGACTTTGATTTTCAGCATGAATGATTTAACAATCGGTGCTGATTTTTCTACTTGCTTAGCTAGAAAATACTTTTATGCTATAAACCTCCCACTTCGTTTTGCAAAACTCTGATGGTTTTTGGTTGGATAGCTAGTTTTTTGCTGATTAAAACTTGGACAATTAATTTAAAGGTCACCCCAATTTTCTTTGCCCTGGCATCAGAGGAAAGTATAAAGGACTCAAGTTTTGTATTTCCATTTCTGGAGAAGCTAAATTTGCCTTAAAAGAAATAGCCTATAAACCAACTTTCTGCCAAGTTCATTTGAAAGCCTTGGAAGGTTACTTTAAAATGCTCTGTAAATAAAAAGGCACTTAATTGAGGCTATGATCCTACACTCACTTATTTGGGAATATACAATGGGACTTCCAGATAAACACACAGACGAATTGTAAGCAATCTATTATTTTTATATTCTTTGACCAGAGCACTGGAAATATGAAACAAATTCTGACAAGTTATAACAAACTTTGCCTAAAACTAAATAGAGGATGTGGAAAGAAGTATTCTGCATCAAAAGTTCAACCCAGATTTCTTATACTATACATGTGTGTGTGCCAGTATTAGTAGG